TCAGTAGTAGGTGTTTTTGACACGGAGCCTGTCTTGATGGATTTGGGACTTTTTTAAGTGCAGACTCGTAGTAACCCTTAACCTCCACCTCCTTTTCTCTCCGATATAAAAAAACAAACAAAACTAGAAATGTAGTTTATGAAAACTATGGCTGTCAAATGATTACAGTTTTTTAGTCACGATTAATCGCTACATTTAAATAGTTAATTGTTAAGAATCTCATTTTTGATTGCATGTTTGAAATTCCATTATTTCGTATTTAAAAGTAAAATTGTTAGGCTTTTATTTTGAACTTTGACTTTTGTCTTAAACTGAAAATGACTTAACATGCTGTTTGAATTCAACCATGCTTTTATTTTGAAATACAGTAAGGACCTGGTGGGTCTGGTGGATGGAAGGTTACCATTTATACTTCAGCACAGAAACAGAAAGTGGTTAGTGATCACAAAATAAAGTCAAACAGCTCAAATGAACGGTAACAAAGGTCAATGTGTGATGTCATAAGGTCAATGTGTGATGTCATAAGGTCAATGTGTGATGTCATAAGGTGGATATTACTTTGGACTCGTCAGCTGAGCTGTCTGAGAGTTTGTTAAAGTGAAATGAGACATTCAAAGATGCAGCAGTGTCCTTCTTTTACATCACTGAGACTACAGGGAGACACTGAGGACCACTATCTACGGAGAGCCTGAAGGGACAAAATAACATGAGATTAAAAACAGTTCATGCATACATTACATTATCCACAAAGACCCAACATGAAGGTTCTGGTTCTGCTCGACGTTTCTGCCTCTTAAAGGGCGTTTTGTCTTGCCACTGTAACTTTGTTGATATACAAATAAAGATTGGTTGCGATGTTGTACTGTTGGATTTTCTTGGAAGGTGACTCCAGTCTGCGTCTTTTCTTTCTCCATACTGAAAGTTTTTACACGACCTTTTAAATGGCTGACTTTGTTTCTCAAGGTGACCGCTCTCAGGTTCAATAATTGGCCTTCTCCCACAGTAGCCACTTCTGTCTGATACAAACAGACAGATGGCATCCTGGGAAATGTTGTGCCTTTTTTGTTGTCTTTGAGCGCAGATTGTTATGGCCCTGCCAGGAGGCATTAAAGGCCGCATAGCCAGGACGCTGCTCTTTGCTCACAGGGTGAAGCTGATTGAAATTCCCTTCCTCCTGCTTCGTCTGCTTTGGCGGCGGTCCACGGTGGCAACACCGCAACCTATTTCACACTCTGCTGGTGAGGAGTGATGAAACCAGACAGCAAAAAGACGGACTGGTTGTGAAAGTAGCACACAGAGCCGTCTTCTGTATCCGCCACTTCTAAGTGTCTGGACTAGTCTCTTATCTGGATGTGAAATGGAAAAAACGGCTTCTTACCTCTTAACTCATGTCTTATTTGACCCTTTAGACTTTTTGCAACTCTCTCCACATGGGCACCAATAACTTGTAGACTTATGGTGTTTGTTCTGATAAGGTGGAGAGATGTATGAGTGGAGCATGGTGGCTGCCTCGGATCGCCTGCGTGCCGACGGTGTGTTCTGACCAGCTGATCTGAGGTTACTATTAAGACCCCGTTTCCACCAAGTGGTCCGGTTCAGTTTGCTTTTGGTACTGTACACATCTATTGACGTTTCCAGGGTCATAAGTTGGGAATGGTACCAAAAATAACTGACCTGTACGTCCTACTTTTTTGGTTCCCTTCTGTTGGGGTGCCAAGTGTACCGATCCGACCCTAAAGGGTGGAGCTAGACACACTGAGGTCCATTGAATGGTCGAAAGGATCTTTACTTCCCGTGTGACAGCGGCAACACATACTTAAATATCCCATGGATTTGGAAAGAGATTTTTGTTTTTTTGCCACTACTGTCAGCGCGTAGCTCCACCCCATCGGCAACCTCGGAGATGCAGGCCTTCCTAGTAGTCATTGATTTTTAGAGTGTAGAGCCGCTACTCCTTCCCATCTGCTGACATCTGCAAAATGTTTAATGTCAAGATATTTGATGTAGGTTAAATATAATGTCCTTTCGTATTCCGAGCGTTCCTTGGCGCTGAGGTGGAGGTCGGAGCAGGCCAGTGTCATTGAAAGGAGCCAGTTGAGGTGGTTTTGGGGTCTGATTAGGATGCCTCCTGGACGCATGCCTTTGGAGGTTTTCCTGGTAGACTCAGAGTCCACTGGAGGGATGATGTATCCCGTCTGGGAACACCTCGTAATCCCTCAGGAGGAGCTGGAAAACGTTACTTGGATGAGGGAGGTCCGGGTTGACTCACTTTGCCCGGTGTTACCCCTGCGACCCGACCTCGGATCAGTGGAAGAAAATGGATGGATGGATGGATGGATGGAACAAACATCTGCAACATTTTCTTTTTTAAATGTTCTCATTACGACTCAGTTCTTAGCGTCTGTGTCTGCATCTTATTTTCTCTGATGATGTTGTTTTGACTGAAATTGGCCCCAAACGCAGCATGAGCGTCCCAAAAGCTGCTGTGATGCAGCTCCAACTGTTTGTGTAAACAGCGTTTTCTGTGTCCCATGTTTCTGCTGTGAACGAGTCGGGCTGCCGTGGAAACGACGCTGTGATCGCTGAATCTGCTCCACAGAGATGAAAAAACAAACACAGCCCGGAGTTGTTCTCCCTTTTGGATTCACCAAAACAGAAACAAAATGACTCGGGCTCGGAGCAAATGACTTCACTCTCATACTGTATGTCCTCATTAGAGACACACTGCATCATGGGTAAAAGGAAAAACGAGGTTACTTTGACAAAAGTTAGATGAAGCTCAAAGCGTAGAGCGAGCACAGAGATCTAAAAAGTGGCTGCTGTTGATTTGTGTTGGAGACGAGAGTTTTTTAGTATTTATGAAGAGTTTTCATTTTTTCTCTTTTTTGTTTTTTGTCCTTTTTAAACCATTAAACGTGGCACAGAAGATATACTTCATCTGGTGGCTGTGGCTCAGTGGTAGGGCTGCTCATCTCTCAATCGGATGGTCGTGGGTTCGATCCCCAGCTCCTGCAGCCTCATGCCGATGTGTCCTTGGGCGGTGTAAAAGCACTCTGAGTAGTCAGAAGACGAGAAAAGCACTTAAGAAGCTCAAATCCATTTACCGCCCAGCCGCCACCATCGGACTGTGTCGTCCCCACAACCACCGCCGTCCTCATTCATGCACGGCCTGCTCCGACCTCCAAGGAACGCTCGGGATACCAATGGACAAACGTTAACCTCATGTCAAATATCTTGACATTAAACATTTTGCAGATGAAGCTTCATATTAGATGTGTGTACTGTATGTTGTTACCTTGGTAACAAACGAGTAGTTCGTTGTTTGCTTTCTTTTAAAAGATATCTGGCTATAGGTAGGGTAGTGCTTGTAAAATGAAACTGACAGTCTTTTGGTGGTTTTAGCTTTTATATGTTTGTGTTGCAGATCACACTAGGCATGTAACGTGTAAAAGATGTGAAAGCAGAAAATGAAAACATGAGCTCTCAGAGTCTAAATGTGGAGGATGATGAGAGATATATCGGGGGAGGGGAGAGGAGGGGGGGGGGTAATTGCGGCCACTCTTTGATCCCTGGAAAGCAGAGAGGAGCTCATCATCGACCAGCAACTGTTGCCGTGGTTACAGCATCCCACAGTCTTTGCTAATTTCAGCTCGGATCCCTGCCTGTTATTGCAGTCCCTGGAGGATTTCCTTTATGTGTGTGTGTGTGTGTGTGTGTGTGTGTCATGCGTCTGTGTTTACACCCATCTGCATACATTATGAACGCAATTGATGTGTTTCTGTCTTTACATAACTTTAAGCTGTATAATCTTTTTTTAAACCTGTGATCAATTAATGCCAGAAGCATTCAGAACAACATAAAAAAGCGAGGATGTGACGATTTAGCAGAATTAGAAGCATAATATTTGATTTTAGTTTTATTTAACCAGGAAAAAGTCTCACATAAGATTAAAAATCTCTTTTACAAGAGCGTCCTGGCCAAGACAGGCAGCAGCACAATTACGGGGTTTCAGACATAAAAACACTTCACAACAATGAACATAAATAAAGGAATCACAAAATGATGCGATGGTCAAAAAGGGCAATATGAGAAGGACAAGTCGCAGTGAACGAACACAGATGTTGTTGCAGTAGCTGCAGAGGTAGTAATGGAAGTAGAAGTTGATTATCAGATGAAGTAGAGCAGCGGTAGGAGTGGTGCGTTCCATTAACTTCTGAACTCTGATCTCGGAGCTGGAAATAACATCACACAAGAGTTAATCTCGTTCCAACATGGACGCCTCCAGGAATACCTTGTGCTTTGTTTGCTAATACCTGAAGATAGCAAAATGCTATATGATAGCTTGCATGTGAAATAACATGAAAACATGTCCACAGATAGAACCTGCACGATACTGTCTTAATGTTTCATAGTTTAGTCTTTAGTGTTTCCTGTTTTATTTTGTAGTTTCTTATCCTTGAGTTTCTTTGTTACATTCTTGAGTTCTGTGTCTTCAGTGTTTCATGATTTAGTTTGTAGTTTGTCCTCAGTGTTTCTTGTCTTGTGTTTATTCCTGCCTCTGTGTGTTTCCCTCCAGTGTTGATTACCCTCATTGTCTTCACCTGTGTTATTAGTCTCACCTGTGTTTGATCTGTGTTCCTTCCCTCGTGTTGTCAGATCATTGTTGTAAGTTGCCCGTGTTGTTTGTCGTATGTTGGCGTGTCAGTGTTTCCTCGTGTTTCTCAGTGCTTATCAGTTTTTGGATTTTCTCAGTTTGAATTAGTGAGTTTTGTTTGCCTTTGGCTTTTTGTTTAAAATAAAAAGTTTTTGGTTATTCTGCACTTGGGTCCACCTTCCCTTGTTTTACACACAGGACATGACAGTTTTAACTGAATGTAAATGATCTCCATCCTGTCGGAAATATCCTAGAGATGTTTGTGATCCAGTTATAGAACCATCCATTCATTCTGAGCTTTTTAAAGTGCTGACCTGTTTGTTGTTTGTTGTGTCTCTCTACACAGGTTGCCTGTTTGAAAACGAGCTGTGTTCCCCCTACGAGATCTGCGTTAACGGTAAGACGAGCCACACTCACACTCTCTAAAAGTTTTAACGTTAACGTCAATCATCGCATCAACTCTATCATGTACTCATAAATACATAGAGTAACTTAAACTCTGATAATAGTTAATTTTGTTAAGGTTTAATTGGTTTTGTTGATGAGTTGCTATGGCGATATCTGATGTGTGCATTGGTTTGTTGTGTAGTTGTTTTTTTGTGTGCATTCAGTTTTGTAATGGTTTCATGTTGTTGTTTGTGGAGGAGCTTGATGCTGCTGTAAAGTGGTTACGTAAAGTTGTGTGAATGTTTTTTTTAATTATTTCTTTCTTTATCAGAGACATTGGGTCTCTTTCTCCTGCCCGGGCACTAAAGATGTGAATTAGCTCATTGCTAACTCTGCTAGCAGCTGTACCCTTTCCCTGCTGATTCCTTTAGTAAATACAAATTTAAAGTGTACACAGCTCTTTAAAAAAAGACCGAACAGGAACTCCAGAGGGAAGTGGAAGATAACTCGTATCCTAACAACAATAAGCACCGGTGAGATGTGCGGTCGTTAGCACAGCCAGTGCTAAAGGTAGCATCATTCGTATCCAAGACAAATTTCATGAAGGGGCCAAAAAATGTGTCATATCGTCATGTTTAACAAATTATTTCAATATACTGACCTCAGACTGAGGAGGTTTTTTGGCAGAATAAAGCGGCACCAGGCATGAGAACATCTGAAGTTTCTATAAGATATTTAACCTCTCTCTAATTAGTAGGGAGATGTAGCTTAATTATCATGTGTTTTATCAAGAAGATCTGATTTACTGTATCACCTCTGCATTGATATTAACCTCCTGACTCTGTAATAACAGCAACAGTAACATTATAAATACAAACCCACTCTCTCTCTCTCTCTCTCGCTCTCTCTCTCTCTCTCTCCCTCTGCTTCCCTCCTCTCTTGTGGCCTTTCTGGTTTTGAGAGTGAATCTGGGAAACCCCCGCTGAGATTCAACCTCGCACCAAAAACGAGCTCAGCACATGAAAGATGTTGGCAGGAAGGAGGATTTGTCTGTCTTTTTTTTTTTTGGCTTGAAGCACTTTCATCTCCGACTCCACGGGGTCAGACGGATGATACGCACCAGAGTTAAACAGTCATCTTGTTGTTAGCTTACCTATTTTATGTTTTGGGTATCAGCCGATCAGAGGGCTGATTGGTTTACAAAAGAAGCTCTCGGCTGTGCGGATCAGTCTTCTGTGAAGGGTTTGAAGCAACGAGGGAGAGCGGGCAGAGATAACAGGATATGTGATATGTGTGTCAGAGTCTCATTAGGCATGTGACGGTCTGTTCCTCGATGCAGGTGGCGACTGTGTTTCTGACCTGCTTCCTGATTGTGTTTATTTCAGACGCCGGTGTGTTTGTTCTGAATTCATTAGCTCTGGCCTTTTCCTGCCTGTGTCCGTTTGAAATGTACCCGATAATGTGACTCTGACCGACGAGGCTGGGAGAGCTTTAAATACACAAGTCTGGTGCTGGGAGAAAATAACTCGGCCTGCTGTGTGTCGGAGTTTGTTCCAGATATAAGGAGCATAGAAACTGAATAAAATGTGTATAAAAATGATTCCATCAGTCACTGTGTCGGTCAGCTCGGCAACACTCTGAGCCCAGAGTTAGCTCTCCCAAGCCGAGTCAGCCGAGGCCGACTCTGACAACTGGGATCTCACAGTGGAAAAGCTAACGGTGGCTGCACCTCCGGCCATTGTTCTCAACCGCCCGTGTGTCCGACCTGCTTCAATAGCTGCTGTCAAAGCGGCCGGTCGCAGACAGGTGCCGGTGTGTTGTGTTGCTGATTGGCATCTCGGGCTCTATCGGAGCCCTGCAGCAGCAGCTCTGATTGCCTGCGCGGGCTATAATCTCTTGGCAGGAGAGACAATGAGTAAGGCTGTTATTGTTCAGCCGAGGACATTCTGTGTCTCACCGTCCTGCCAACAACACAAGGAGACTGTGACAACTGAAAAATGTCTCAATACACCGAGGGAAAAACATCTTCCTATACGTTGGCACTGGATGGCTGTGGTCTGAATGAAACATCTGTGCTGTGCTTTGGTCAAAATATAACATGAATCAAGCACCAGAGGAGGTTTGTGACCCTGTATAAACCAGCCCTCTCAGAACGCTCCGTTTTGGTGTGTGTGTCTCTTTAAATGTAATGAGACGTGATAACTGCTCTCATATCTGGCAAACCGAGGGGCGTCCAAAACGGGCCGTGTGGGGGGGTGCCTTAAAACCGCCTACCTTCTCTGGTCTTCCATGTAGAACAATGAGAGATTCACGTACCAATCACTGACTAACACACACACACAAATAGAGTGACACAGGATCGTGCTCCATTTTCAGTCCCCTCATGCAGTTGTCATGGCAACAGGTGCCTGAGGAGCAGGGCTAAACCGACCCATTACCCATCTGTGCCCGGTCGCACGGCGTCTCCTGTAAATGCTTTGCAGCGGTGGACATGTCACAGCACGCCATGGCAGTCTGTGCTTAACAAGACGACGAATCACAACGTGTGTGTTTGATGATCGCTGTGATCTCTGAATTTAAATAAGTGATTTTATGTGTTGACTCTGACTTTTGATTCATTCAGAGAAGAAGGAAACGTTGAAAATAAAGCAAAATATTCTGTTATCTGCACATGAATTTGGTCTGTATAGCCCATTTCTAGATTGGCACAACCTTTTTTTTTTTTTTAGATTACTCATCCATGTTGATTGTTGATCTTATTCATAGTTAGGGGCGTGACTGACCCGGCTGACAGGTGGGTGGGTCTGTTTGCCAGGAGGTCAAAAAGTCCACCTCTTGCTCCGGCTCTCTGTCCAAACGACCGGTGTCATTGATCTTGTGAGGGATAGACTTGTGTTGGTCCCCCAGGGTTCTACAGATCCATTAAGACGTCTTAATCCAGTTCATTAGGCTGGACTCAGTTTGTGTCAGATTAATGATTTTTGTCAGTGTAGTGGTCTGAAAAACAGGCAAGGTCTTATAAATGATAAAAAGATGACATCTACGTCTGATTCTTATTACAGAAGAAGAAAGGCCAGACGAGTACACATTTCATTTAAAGGCTTTATGTGATTTTTCACACTTAAATATGATATAAATCAAGTATATCCTCTGAAAATAACTCTGTGAGTCATGACTGTCTACAATGGGTGTAACACCCGAGTCCCACTGTCTGTGATGTTTTCAGAGTCCTATCTTCAGTTTGTTTACATCGCCTGGACGGCCGGCCGACTCCTCCCCTCACGTATAAAAGTTGTTTAATTGAGGGACTAGAGAAAAGAAGAATAACATACTGTACTCACTGCTTAACTGTGTTCTAGATCACGCTCATTTCAGGTAAATTTACATGCAGTGTGAAGATACCAGCATAATAAAGATCGCTAGCATTAGCATGCTAACACAACAATGCAGCGCAAGTTGTTTTGGTTTAATTCTGGTGCTCAAGGGCGACACCTGCTGGATCAAAAAATCACAAAGCATTTAAAGCTGAAGCTGTTAAGGTGGACGTTTGCAGCTTTGAAAGTGTTTCTTTTTTAATTGCATGAAGAGTTAAACGGCTCCTCATGCGACAGGTGCTGCAGGTGTTAAACATTTAAATAAACACATTTATCCTCTAATACCTAAAACCTGCACATCTGTCTCAAAGAAACAAATCAGAAATTGCATTTTAATGACAAAAACACATCTTGCCTGAAGGAGCGCTCGTGTCCATGAATTCATAAGATTTTCAAGCAGTGATGGAAAAAAATAATTTAGGTGAAAGCGCAGGATCAGAGGAACACAGCCTCGTTCAACAGAGATTCATGTATAAGTCATGAAAGCACTGAAAGCTTTTTCACCACTTTTCACATCATTGCCGGCACATCCACTGGATTTAAAAAAAAAAAAAAAAAACTTGTTGTAAAAAGTTTATCTCCATGTTCTCATCGACTGACATGAAAATGGAAATGATGGCATCTTGGAGCAACATCTGGTCAGGGTTGCCGGTCCATCTCCTCCATCTTAACACCCTGTCTGTGTGTCTGTGTGAATCCTCATTCTGCTCTAATCTGCAGCATAAATCACCAGCAGACATGTCTGGCTCTGAATATCAGCATCCCCCCCCCCCTCTGGTAGGAAACTGGGATAGATTGCAGAGCCTTAGATATGCATGAGTGTAATTATGAGAGATAATTCAAGATGTTCCTTCTGGGGACTGAGATGTGGTGTTTCTGCACGCTGTGTGAGATCAGGGGCCCTGTGGTGCAGGAGGTTGTTTCCTCTGCTTTTTCTCTCTCTCAGTTTTATTGTTTCTATTTTAGTATGAGTCATCATCTTTTTAAAATTTGAGATTTTCAGGTCGTGTCAGTACAGCGTGTCCTCAGCAGTGACGGGCGAGTTACTGAAACTACTGTACTCAAAAAGGGGAAAATGTTCATCATGGATCAGACCAGTATTCCTTGAGTCGTGTTTCCCACAATGCAAAGCGCCAGGTCAGAGACCTAAATGACAGACTATCGTGAAAGTGTAAACAGCACACAGATACCACCAATTACCTTTTTTTGATTCTGAAAATCATGAAAACCAACATGAATCACTTGTCAGGTCATTCCCGGACCGGAAACCAGCTTAGCCTGGCATACTGCAGAATAACCCCCGACTGGCTGGTTATACATACTGCTGCTGAACGCAGTATGCACTACATACGGCATACTCGTGTTGTTACAGGAAGTTTGATATTTTACATCCCTGAGGTTTTTAGGTACGTTTTCATTTACTTATACAAACTTCTTAAAAAGCTAATTATGTTCTGAAGTAAACTTATGACCTCATGAAAGATAAGACAGCATTCAGTTTTGAGTTCTATCTGTCCCCCTCCTCCTCCTCCTCCTCCTCCTCTTCTTCGTTTTTCTTCTCCTCCTCGTATTCCTCCTCCTCTTCTCCACTCATAATTACTTCAGCCACTAGAGGGAGCTGCTGGACAATGGATGTAAATATTGATTAGAGTAAATTGGCCAGCTGACCTTTATGGTTCATTTTGTGTTGCCTGTTTTGTCTGTGATAGAAACTGGAGGTTTTTCAGCAAAAGTGGGAAACATGCAGAGGCTTTTTAGGTCAGGTACAATCACTTCTATCTGAACCAGCTGCAACAAGCCAGACGTTTTCTCTTTGTAGTCTCTCCTCCTCCTCGTCGTTCACCTGCAGCTTGCCTCACTCTCCTGTCTCCTGTGTGCACACACAACATGCACTCACAGTCAAACATTAATGAGTAATTAAAGCGACCTGCCGCTGGTCACCCTCAGCCGCCTGTTAAATGGAGCTTGTAAGTTGATCGAGACGCAGAGACTATTTTTAGAGCGAGAGGCCTGAATTATCCTGAAGAGATGTAATGTAACATGTACACTTCCTTACATTCACTACAGTATACACAGAGTATGTGCTGCTGCCCTCTGGTTAGTAGTTTAGAGTCCCCTGTTGTAGACTGAACTGGGTTAAAAATGAATCTATCCCCCTGTCTTTAAAGCTTTTAGAGCAACAACATGTGACTCTTCTACCTTTTAACAGTCTTTAAACATCTCTTACATGTCCACTGATCATCCCACTCGCCTGTACTATGAATGCACGTTTATCAGCTGGCTGATCTGAGTGTGCACGTCATGTCTCCAACGGCCATCTTCTCAATATTTTTCTCCTTTGTTTTTTATTTTTTTAACACCTTAACCTAAAGAAATATAGGTGATATTCCCCCAGCTCCAGTGTTTAAATATGTTATTTTCTGCATTCTTTAGTAAACTTGTAAAAGAAAAAATATATTTTAAAATTGTTTTTAAAAAAAAGCATGAAATATTTTTAAAATGTTATGGGAAACTGCAAAAAAAAGAGTTAAAGAAAATTAAGGAAACTTCACTATTTTTTTTTAAAGTAAAAAAACTTTGTCGCCCCCACCGATGATTGTGATGCAGCCTCTTGCGGTCACCTCAACCGCAAAAGTGGAGTGGAAATATATGGAAAATCCTTGAAAATGCTGGAGGAGGAGTGTAAAAATCAAAGAGTCCTCCATGTTTTCATTGAAAAGGAAATATTGCTGGTTTTATTCAGTATTTTTGAAACGGATCATAATGACTGTGAGGGTCCTCTAGTGAGAAAGGCAAGTGCGTGCAGCTTTACGGTGTCCGATACTAGCTAGTTAGCTCGTCTTGTGATTGTTTGATTGGATGGCTGAGATTTTAACTGAACTATTGAACTCTTATTCAGCAAAAGAAAGAGATGGCTCCTTCCTCCAAGTCTGTTAAATCAGTCGAGAGAAACTGAACCTGAAGGGATGAGCGTATTCAGCATTTTCAAGTGCCTGTTTCCGTCATTGACTTTAGTGCGAAAGGCTAAATATAACGCGGTGTGTGTTTGGGTGTTCACAGATGGCGTGTTTGGGAGGTGTCACTCTGTTCCGGTGAAGGACGTCTACGCCTACGATGTCTCTCCGTCTGTAGTGCAACACTTCAGGACGCTGCTGGAGAAGCTGTCCAACCGAGGTAAACACACACACAGATGATGTTACAACAACAACTGAAGTTTCTTATTGCCAATTAAAACAAATTAAGTTATTTTTTACCTTGTTTTTTTTTTTTTTTTTGGATAATGTTGGGAGGAGAGAGAGAGGGGGATGACATGCAGCAGAAGGCCGAGGTCGGATTTGAACCTACGGCTGCTGCGGACTATACCCTCCGTTCATGGGGTGTGCAACATAACTCCTAGGCTATTGTCACCCTAAGGCATGACCTATAATCAGATGTGACGTTTGGGGCAGATGGAAGCTGTATGTCTTCTTTTTTTCATACAACAAATCTTTTTGGGCTTCAAATAGAATATGCCAAGATTTGAACAAGGTACTGTAGGGGCACCGCTGCCTGGTGACCTCGCAGTTTGTTCAAGTTATGACTACAGCTATCACTTTCAGTTAGGGTAAATTATCGGACATGACAACATGATATTATGGCAAGATAGATTTACTAAACAGATAGTAAAATGTTTTGTGATTTTTATGTCCATGAATAGTCATGACAGACCTTACTAATCACTCAAAGGGTTGACTCATGGTAAATCATCATTATGGTGATATTTATTTCACATTTATACTTGGTGGAGGGCTTTTTGGGTCCCATCTGCAGTACCCACATGGGCCACCAGGGGGCCGCAGCCCACACTTTCAGAAGCACTGCTCAACGTCATCTTTTGTTATTGTTTTGAGAGGATTTTAAATACTGTGCGTTTAACTGATATGCTGACTGGCTCTTAAAAGCATGTACTTCTGATAAGTCATGGTTGCGTAACTTTCAGAGTTAGTGGACTATAAAATATGTTACGGAGCAAAGTGCATGTACCTGCACTCTAAACCACATCAGCAGTCAGCAGAAAGAGTCAAATGCTCAGCGACAGACTGATCTGTGTGAACGTGTTTCTGTGGTCTGTGATGTGGAAACAAAGACACACAGAACTGTAGTTTCAGCCACACACACTGTCGCTTTAAGACCTGCTGACAAACACGGATATATCTTTGTTCCCCTTCCTCCACAGACCTGACGGTGTGCAGAGAGGTTTAACCAGTTTGACGAGCGTTTGAGTCGGAGCACAGGCTTGTTTCTGTTTTGAGGAAGTGGAACTTTTAAGCATTTTCTGTCGGTGAAATGGCTCAGAAAGGAGGTCAGCTGCACCAGGAACTCAGCTCTTGTTCGATCTGTCTGGATCTCCTGAAGGATCCGGTGACTGTTCCCTGTGGACATAGTTACTGCATGAACTGTATTAAAAGCCACTGGGATAAAGAGGATGAGAAGACTATTTACAGCTGCCCTCAATGTAGGCAGGACTTCACACCGAGGCCTGTCCTGAGGAAAAACACCATGTTAGCAGTTTTAGTGGAGGAGCTGAAGAAGACTGGACTCCAAGCTGCTCCTGCTGATCACTGCTATGCTGGACCTGAAGATGTGGCCTGTGATGTCTGCACCGGGAGGAAACTGAAAGCCTGTAAGTCCTGTCTGCAGTGTCTGGCCTCTTACTGTGAGAAACACCTCCAGCCTCATTATGAACTACCTGTCTTTAAGAAACACAAGCTAGTGGAGCCCTCCAAGAATGTCCAGGAGAACGTCTGCTCTCGTCATGATGAGGAGATGAAGATGTTCTGTCGTACTGATCAGCAGTCTATCTGCTATCTCTGCTCTGTGGATGAACACAAAGGTCATGACACAGTCTCAGCTGCAGCAGAAAGGACCGAGAGGCAGAGAGGGATCAAGGGGAGTCGACAAAACATCCAGCAGAGAATCCAGGAGAGTAAGAAAGTCAAGAAGCTGCTCCAACAGGAGGTGGAGGCTATAAACCGGTCTGCTAAAAAAACAGTGGGGAACAGTGAGAAGATCTTCACTGAACTGATCCGTCTCATGGAGAAAAGACGCTCTGATGTGAAGCAGCAGGTCAGATCCCAGCAGCAAACTGAAGTGAGTCGAGTCAGAGAGCTTCAGGAGAAGCTGGAGCAGGAGATCACTGAGCTGAAGAAGAAAGACACTGAATTGGAGAAGCTCTCAAGTATAAAAGAAGACACCCAGTTTCTAGACAAGTATTCCTCACTGTCCCGACTCACTGCGTCCACAGAGTTTCCCGACGCCAAGATCCGTCCTCTGACGTACTTTGAGGATGTGACAGCGGCTGTATCAGAGGTCAGAGATAAACTACAGGACGTCCTGACTGAGAAGTGGCCTAAGATTGTACGGACAGTGACCGAAGTGGACGCTTTTCTGTCACAACAACTGAGGACCAGAGAGGAATTCTTAAAGTATGCATCTCCACTCACACTGGATCCATGTACGGCACACCCCTGGATCATTTTGTCTAATGGGAACCGTAAAATAACAACAGAGGAATTCCGCAAACCTTTATTTTGTCAGCCCTTAACAAGATTTATTCCCACTTTTCAGATCCTGAGTAGAGAGAGTCTGACTGGACGTTCTTACTGGGAGGTGGAGTGGGATGCACTGGTCTCGATAGCTGTTGCATACAAAAATATAAGCAGATCTGGGAGCTACGATGACTGTGCATTTGGGCGCAATGAAAAGTCTTGGTCACTAGATTGCGTTCTAAGTTCTCAATGTGATTTCAGGCATAACAATGTCACTACTCCAATCCCTGGTAAGACCTCCTACAAAGTGGGAGTGTTCCTGGACCATAAGGCAGGTATTCTGTCCTTCTACAATGTGAACGAGAACATGACCCTCCTCCACAGAGTTGAGACCACGTTCACTCAGCCGCTCTATGCCGGGCTTGGACTTCACTTTTCAGGAGGAGACAATGCTGAGTTGTGTGAGCTGAAGTAGTGGGATTAGGATTCAGAATCAGGGCTGGAGCATTTCCTTTAAAACATGTATATTCTGAAATCACAAAAGAGCCAAATGCATGAATATATCCAGATGGCAGATTTGCAATTTGAAAAAGAAAAAAATTCAGTTCAGAATTTTCCACATTTTCAGCGTTTTGACACGCTTGAAGCACTTTCAGTTTGTAATAGTTCTAGTGGGATTAGGATTCACGTTCAGGGCCGGACAATTCCTCAATAATTCTGAAATCACAAATAAGTTGAACAGTTTCTTTAAGGGTCTGTGTCCACTGACTGTATGTATTTCGCTTGCAGAAAACATTATCTAAACAAAACCAATACAGTTTAATATTTTTAGTGTTTGCTGGGGGTGTCGTGGCATTTTCTGCATATTCAGTGTTTACACAATTTTCAGCATTTCTTTAAATTTTTCATAGTTTTCCTCGTGTGCAAAAAAAGCTTTAGTTGCTGCACACATCTTGCTTTCAGTTTGAAATAGTTGTAGTAGGATTCAGATTCAGGGCCGGATAATTCCTCAAAATAATTCTGAAAAATCACAAATCAGCCAAGTGCAATGTCCAGGTATCAGGTTTGCAACTTCTTAATAAAAGTAAAGTGTGTTGAACAGTCTTTATTGTAAGGGCCTGTGTCCACTGACTAAGTATTCTGCTGGCAGCACTTGTACATGTCACATCATATGCTTTTTCCTGCATTGTGCAGTTTTATTCTGTGTTCATACTTCCATTAAAGTGCTTGTTAATTGGTGTCCATGCCTTTTTTATTGTTTTGAGTGTATATTGGGTTTTTTTAAGGTTTATTTTGGGGCGTTTATTGCCTTTTATTTCAGAGAGAGGACCTCTTAAGGACTTAAGCCTCTGTACGTGGGGTGTATGCACTGACTGCTATGCTGCGGGGCATCCCAACTAAATCTTTTAAGATTTAAAACGCTGTGGTAGTGGTGGGCGATATAACGATCTTAGATCGTGAAGGATTTTAACATGCTGACGATCTGCCAAAGCAGAGAGATTGTAGAACCGGGCTAATGTGTTTATTTTATCAAGCTGCAGTTTATACTCCGACAAAGATGCGTCTCCCTCCCTCCCCGTCTGCTCCACACCCGTGAAAACGAAACTTAAAAGTAAAGTTTGCAAAAACAACTCCATCTTGCTTATATGCAACTGTTCTGATATTTTTCCAAACCGACACGCCGTGAGCAACAGTTAACTTATCTGCATAGTGTGCACAGTTAAGATTAGCCTACATCTCAGATAGTGACACGGAGAGACGTTAACAGTCAGAGTCAGACAGAGCAGAGCTCAGACAGTCAGTGGAGATATAACCCTGGTGTTTAAAATGTTTCTGTCAGTGTTTTCTGCTCTCTCACTTTTTAAAAGTTACTTATCAAGCCTCTCCACCCGAAGCTCACCTGTTGTGATAACTGAATTTATAGGGATTAAGCTAAACAATGTTACAAAGCAGCAGGCAGGTGAGAGTGAGTAACCATGGTGACTGTCTGTCTGTCAATCAACAATGTCCCGCCCCCTCTATGAATTAAACTCTTCGGTCAGTAAAACTTACTTTGATCATGTTTCACAGAATGAACACATTCTGTATTATGTTTCATTATATATAAACTAAACTAAAGTTAGTCCAATGATGTCATAAAAAACAACAAAGGCTGCAGAGCCTGTATGAAGCTCCAGCTGGAGGAACTCTGCAGGGCTAAAACAGAACAGAAACTTCAACAGCTTCAAGTCTACATGTTTTTAAATGAATGCATCACTGCGTGAGAATGTTCCTGATGAACATAAAAAGAGGACACATGACTAAATCATCATTTCAAAGTGGTGAGGAAAACCTTCAAATTGTGCATAAATATTGATCAAATTGAGGGAAAGACATTTCTGTTGCTGAAGATGTTCTGGGTGAGAGACCTCCAGACCTCCTACAAAGATGATTTTTCAAATAGATTAAACTTGTCAGCTCAGTTTCTGTGCATTTAAAAACATTATACAGGGAAATAAGTTTGGTTGAACTGGTCAGTAACTTACAAATTAGTCTAAAGAACAGTATGAAAAAATATTGTGATAAAATCGTGATCGTGATTTTGCCAAATAGAAATCGTGACATAATATTTTCGCCCACCTCTACGCTGTGATATCCATAACGTCCTGCTAACAATGAATTTTAAACTAAATCTCCAAAAGTTTGAACAACAGTTTGCTGCAGAGTATAGCCGTGTGTGCAAAATCTTTCCCATCTTTGAAGAGGTTCTTTGGCTCTGTGAAGCAGGGTGAACTTCTGCAGCCGCTCCTGCTAAGAGTTCACTCCGTTCGGCTCGTGATGGTGTGAGCTGAGAGCTGAACTCGTATCAACCATGAGAGGAAATGATGCAGCTCGCTTATTCACTTCCTTTTTTGTTTCCTTTTTTTTTTAGAGACACTGGTGCATGTCATACTCTTTTTTTTTTTTTTTAACTTGTATTACAAACTGCAGATGTTTATTTTGCCACTAGAGGGAGGAAGAGACTTGTGTAAAAGTCCACTCATTTCATTGGTTTTCATCATGCAGCTGTATGATCAACGACTGGACCTCGATTACACCCTAAATCAGAGTGTTGCTCTTTAGAGCTGAACGGAAAATTACGTCAAAAAGTACCACACTTTGACTATTTCTACAACATCTGTTTTTTTAACCAGATGTGGCGTCATCCCTTTCTCACCTGACGCAGATGAACACACATTGTTTCCCCCCTTTGGATTCGTTTAAGTTAATATTGCTTTTGGAAAATAATTGAATGGACACGTTTGGAGTCATGTGCCAGACGCTCTGGAGTGAAATGAATAATTCAAACTCTGTGTTTGTCCGGCTGTCTGCAGACGTTGTTAGAGAAGATTTAGGACATGGCCGGTCCACTGAGTGATCCGCAATTAATTATATCTGTGTTTTTTATCTTCACTCCCTCCCTTTCAACTTCTTTTCCCCCTATATTCTGCTCATTTCTTTCTTCTTTGTTTTTTGTTTCCTTCCTATTTTTCCTTTTGCTCTTTCCTTCTCACTTTTGTTGCATCATTTCCTCCCTACTTTATTTATTCTTTCTCTTTTCCTTCAACCTTCTTACCCTCTTTCTTTCCTTCCCTTTTTGTCCTTCCCATTTCTTTCTTTCTCATTTTATCCACATTTTTCCTTCCTTTCTTCCTTCCTTCCTTCCTTCCTTCCTTCCTTCCTTCCTTATTGAGGTCTTTCCTTCTTTTACCATTCCTTTGCTCCTTCCTTCCTCCCTCCCTTCCTTCCTTACTTCATTCTTCCTTTCTGCTAAATTAATTCTTGATGTCTTTCCTTATTTGATCACCCCTTTGCTCTTTCTTTCCTTCCTTCCTTCCTTCCTTCCTTCCTTCCTTCCTTCCTTCCTTTCTTTCTTGCTTCCTTCCTTTCTACTTGCTTCATTCTTTAGGTCTCTCCTTCTTTCTGTCCTTCCTTCTTCTATCTTACCTTTGCTCTAATTTGCTCTTATTTTTTCCTTCCTTCCTTCCTTATTTTCATTCTTCATGTCTTTCCTTCTTTCACCTTCCCTTTGCTCCTTCCTTTCTTCCTTCCTTCCTTCCTTACTTAATTCTTCCTTTCTACTAAATTAATTCTTGATGTCTTTCCTTCCTTCCTTCTCTGGGTCTTTCCTTCTTATACATTCCCTTTGCTCCTTCCTTCCTTCCTTCCTTCCTTCCTTCCTTCCTTCCTTCCTTTCTACTTGCTTCATTCTTTAGGTCTCTCCTTCTTTCTGTCCTTCCTTCCTTCTTCTATCTTACCTTTGCTCTAATTTGCTCTTATTTTTTCCTTCCTTCCTTCCTTCCTTATTTTCATTCTTCATGTCTTTCCTTCTTTTACCTTCCCTTTGCTCCTTCCTTCCTTCCTTACTTCATTCTTCCTTTCTACTAAATTCATTCTTCATGTCTTTCCTAATTTCATCAACCCTTTGCTCCTTCCTTCCTTCCTTTCTACTTAGTTCATTCTTTAGGACTCTCCTTCTTTCTGTCCATCCTTCCTTCTTCTGTCTTCCTTTTGCTCTAATTTGCTCTTATTTTGTCCTTCCTTCTTTCTTTCCTTCCTTCCTTCCATCCTTCCTATCTTCCTTACTTTCATTCTTCATGTCTTTCCTTCTTTTACTTTCCATTTGCTCCTTTCCTCCTTCCTTTCTACTAAATTAGTTCTTGAGCTTCCCTTTGCTGTTTCCTTCCTTTTCCCCTTCTTTTTTCTATATTCCTTTCTTCAACCTATATTTAATTGACTAAATCTTTCTCTCCTTCCTCCTCTCTCTCTTTCCTCTCTCCTTTCTTTCCTTCTTTCTCTCTTTCCCCTCCTCTCTCTTTCCTAAGACCCTAGCAGCTTTCTTTTCTTTCCTCTACATGTACACATGTTCAGTGAAATAAAACATATCTGTCACAGATTTACATTTTTTTCAAATGTCTTTCCAAACATTTACATGTCTGATTGTCGGCCTGCTCGTGTGTCCACCATCTTAACTCTACATGTTGAAGATTTTTCCACATGTGTTGTGTTTCCAGATGTGTTATGTTTCCAGATGTTTCTATGTTTCTATGTGTTATGCATACGGGCAGCAATGATCGCCCCAAAGCTTTTAAAAAAAAAAAACAGAATCATCCTTTAACAAACTGCATCCACTTATTCTCTCTCTAATGGCTTACATTTCAGACAGTTGTTGTTATTGTGTTCAACCGTCGCCCGCCCACACACACACACACACACACACACACACACACACACACACACAGACCTCTGGGGCTTTCCTTGTGAAGCCGTTTTTAAAAAGCCTCTCTGAGGTCAAAGCTTGCCGGCAGCACACAGCGACGGCGCTCCTCTTCAGTTCACTCTGAAAGTCTACTTGACCTCCCCGCCCGTCAGTCTCACCTGTGAGGATCTGTTAAGCAGCACTTGGTGGTATTGTGTCTGCGTCACCTCTGCAACACCGACTGAATTACCTCGCTGTGTGTCAGAGGGTCGGCCGCGCACACAGTTTTGTTTGTTACAAAAACATGGGGAAAAAAACAACATAAAATCTCTTTATTAGGGAAAAAAAAGCAAACTCAAAGGGTGCTGGAACTTCTCTAAAATAAATCAATTTTTTTTTAAATAATGCAAAAAGGCATTAAACAGCAAACTTCCACGCATCCTGAAATCCTTCATTTATTCATCCATTCAGAGCAGGAAGCATCTCACTAATTCACCTCTCGTGTCCTTCCCGCTTTATTCTGTGCTTCGTTTCACCAGAGTCTCTCTGACTGTCAGCCGCCCCAACATTTATTAACCTGTCGTGTCAGGCGCCGTCTGTTCACCCGCCGTTTTCTCAGCCACCACGGCCCGCAGTTACAAGCTCCGTTTTTATGGCTCTTTGATGGCGAGGGCTGGCCTGACACGCTGGGCAGCTGTTAGAGGGAGGCTTGTGCCTGATTCCTGGCGGTTAGGGTCGTTACTCATTGAGCTGGGGGTCTAAAGAAAGGGGCTTGAAATGTTCCAGAGCAGAGCTGATTTAATTAGATTCACCGCTCATCGGGTAGAAGTGTGGATTCAGTTGTTAGAAAATGAGCCATTGTTGGCTGACCGTCAAATGTAAATGAGGCGTTGGCAGTGGCAGCGTCCCGCTTAGGACAACTCTGAACCAAAGTAGGCCGACGTTGATTTTGTGCAGTGCAGGATGAGGAGAGCTCAACGTTATTTTAACATTGAATGGTTAGAAATCAACGTGTGCACTGCAGGACTTTACCTACATCCTTTGAGGATTGAAATTTAAGAACATTACCAGATACAGGATGCCTTAGACTTCTATTTTTGTTGCTGTTGCATCATTTGTTTCCATCTTATTAAAGTTTAAAATATTGGTATCGTGACCAGTGGCGGTTCCAGAGTCTGTTGGGGCCCCTTTGCAAAAATCAATTGGGGTCCCTCCAACCAGCATTCCTCACCATCTTATCTCCAGTGTCCCAACACTTACTCCTAGTCCTCTTTTTTTTCATTTACTTTTCTCTCCTATAGACGGATAATTCCTCTTCATTTCTCTTTGTTGACTTTGATCGACAAATTTTTGGTTTTCAAGTGCTGTCAGATGGGGCCCCCTTAGGGAGGATTCCTACTGTCAATGCAAAATTTGCACATTTTGGGTCACTGCTCTGGTTCAAAGTTTGTCAGCCCTCATGGGCCCCCTTCTGGTCTGGGGTTCCCAAGCAGTTGCCTGCCTTGCCTGTTGACAAGCAGCACCTCTGGTCAGGAGAGCCCTCGTCTAATTCATTCATTCAGCTTTTATTTATACTCCAGAGATCATGGGGGGGGGGGACAACAACCCTTACAACAACGTGGAGTCATTGCAGAACCATACATTGTGGAGCAAACTGCTGCTGTGGGTTAAAAATATGTCTGAAGATCTGAAGTTATTTTAAAGCTTTGGTTCCTTTCTTATCATATGGATGTTTATCTGCTACACTAACCTCAGCAACAAGTAGCCTAAAGCCTGACTCTAGTGGCACTATGACTGTAACTTAGTGCTTCTCCTCACGTGATACATTCAATATGTAGGGTCCCTTGTCCACTTGGAAAACCTGATCCACAGAGACCGCTGTTGGGATCTCTTCGGACAGCACGCGCTCTTTGGTTGGACGTATAAGTTTAGAGGTGTCATGATTCAGTCTTTAGTTTGTATTTTGTCGATTTCAAAGTTCAGGTTTCCTTGTGGTTATTGTTTCCCTTGTGTGTTTTTGTCTTAATGTCCTGTTATATTTTTGTAGTTTCTTATCCTTGTGTTTCTTTGTTCTAGTGGTTATGTTACATTCTTGAGTTCTCTGTGTCAGTTCATTGTCGTTTGTCGGTGTTATGCACTGCCTGGCCAAAAAAAAAGTCGCCACCAAAAAAAAAAGGTCACACACTCTAATATTTCATGAGATCGCCTTTAGCTTTGATTACTGCACGCATTCGCTGTGGCATTGTTTTGATAAGCTTCTACAATGTCACAAGATGTATTTCCGTCCACTGTTGCATTAATTTTTCACCAACATCTTGTATTGATGATGGGAGAGTCGGACCACTGCGCAAAGTCTTCTCCAGCACGTCCCAAAGATTCTCAATGGGGTTAAGGTCTGGACTCTGTGGTGGCCAATCCATGTGTGAAAATTATGTCTCATGCACCCTGAACCACTCTTTCACATTTTGAGCCTGATGAATCCTGGCATTGTCATCTTGGAATATGCCCGTGCCATCAGGGAAGAAAAAATCCATTGATGGAATAACCTGGTCATTCAGTATATTCAGGTAGTCAGCTGACCTCATTCTTTGGTCACATAATGTTGCTGAACCTAGACCTGACTAACTGCAGCAACCCCAGATCACAGCACTGCCCCCACAGGCTTGTACAGTAGGCATGATGGGTGCATCACTTCATCAGTCTCTCTTCTTACCCTGATCACTCTGGAACAGAGTAAATCTTCCTTCCAGTTTTTAATAACGCGTTGGACAGTTCTTAACCCAATTTTAGTAGTTTCTGTAATCTCCTTAGATGTTTTCTCTGCTTGATGCATGCCAATGATTTGACCCTTCTCAAACAGACTAACATCTTTTCCACGACCACAGGATGGGTCTTTCAACGTAGTTGTTTAAGAAATGAGAAGCTACTCATTGCATCAGTTAGGGTTAAATAACTTGTTGCCAGCTGAAAGATAATCGCCCATGCAGTTATTATCCAATGGGAGGCTCTTAACTATTTGCTTAGTTAAATCAAGGTGGTGACTTTTTTTTGGACGGGCAGTGTATGTCCGATGTTAGTTGTTGTCAGAGTTTACCAGTGTTAGTAGTTCCCGTGTGATTCCCTCGTTGGCTCCCTTTTTGGTTTGAACAAAGTAAGTTTTTGTTTTTGCCTTTTTTTTGTTTGATCTGCATTGGGGTCCAGTTCATATGTTTTCAACACCCGTGACAAGAGGTTGGGCATAAACCTGTGGTGATGTAGTGGCAGACAAAACTCAGTCTTTAGTTCATTTGTCTCCAGCGTCTTGTTTCATGGCGTCCATTCAACTTGGCCCCCTCCTCCTCTGCAGTTGGATGAGCCACCCGCCCCAATCCCCAATGTGAGACATCCGTACTGACCCTACCAACCACACCTACCACTAAAGACACTGAAGTGTACCCCCCTCAATCATCATCATAACTATCGATTACTAAAAATATGTGCTATTGAAAAATATCAAAACTTATGACATCCTCATGGTGTTGTCCATCAAATCAGCTCCAATCAACGTGTGACTCTTCTCAGCTCAGACTTCAGATTCGGGTTTTACAGCCGTCATCAGTGTAGCTCTAGTCCTGGTTTAAAGCGCTCATGGTCTGTGCTGGACTCGCTTCTCGTGGCGTCACATCTGGAGCTGCAGTCTGGATTACTCGAGTCCTTCCAGGAACGTCATCGCTCATCTGCCAAGGGGCTTGGGTTCATGTTGTGCCGTGTGCGTCGCAGCCATATTTCCGGTAACATTTCGTTCCGCTAACCCATCTGCTGCTGGCGCCCGCTCTTCTGTTCCGATGCCAAAAAGCTGTTTGGAGGCATGTTAAGCATAAGAAGCAGACGTGACTGCCCAAGCAGCTCATCAAACTTGTCCTTTGTACTCTCGCTGCAAAGCAGAGGAGGTTTTTTTTTTTTTTAAGCTTTGTAACGAATGCTGATACTCTTCAGCGGGAAAAGTCCAGACAGAACACAGAGACAAGGAAACCAGAGGAAAAGAAACACTCAAGTAGTCAAAACCACAGCAATCGAGACCAAGACATACCTGAGACCAGAGTGCCCCAAGACCAAGACAAAACCAAGACCAAGACATTTAGGGATCGAGTCCAAGTCAAGACCAAGACCAAGGCAGGGAGAGACCGAGACCATAAGTATCACAGAAAACATCAGTTAGTATTGTAGTCGAGACCAAACTAACTGAGACCAAGACATACCCTAGACCAGAGTGCTCCGAGACCAAGACAAGACCAAGACCAAGGCAGGGCGAGACCGAGACTATAAATATCACTAAAAAATCATCTTCTTTTGTTTAGGAGGCGTGTCACTAACTTAGACCGTAACACTGGGAAGGTTGCGGTCTTAACCGGAGGATAAAAGACTAACTGAAAATGAATTGAAGTTATTTATTCTTTTAGAAAGATACTAGTCCACCCGGACTGAAACCGAGACGAGAGAATAAAAATGCTTTCGATTAGGAGACGAGACCGAGACCTTCAAAAAGTGGCCTCGAGACCAAGACCGAGTACTACAACACAATACACAGTTACTGAAACAGAATCCATCACATGTTCAACAATATCAAATAAGGATTATTTATGACCAAATGTAACCAATCATGTTCGTCAAATTAAATTTGCATTTTCAGGTGACACGACTCTCTCTCCATCTCTGCTGGACTTCATCAAACATAAAAAGCACTTCATGAATCTGTGAGATCAAAGAAGGATCTGCTGTTTTCTCCATCAGATGTGTGAAAAGGGTCAAGTTCCTCTCGTGTTCTGATGTGGTTCTAAAGCTTCTCTGTGTTTCTGTCTGCAGGTCTGACCTGGGAGGACGACACCACTCAGCAGGTTCTGTCCAAAGAGTTATCCAAGCTGAGGAGGCTTCCCTACAGGCCGCAGCAGAACGGGCCGGTGTACAGCTCGGACAGCAGGTCAGAAGTTTACCCACTTTGACCTTTTACAGGTTGACCTTTCACAACGGTGCACACGTCAGCCAGGTTTAGAAAGAGAGCCAGAACGAGGTACAGGAAGCTGGACTTTTATATCCTGGGGGGTGAGCAATGGGTTCCTCCACATCTAGCAGGATATGACATATCCAAAGTGTTTATGTTAATCAATACATTCAATCAAACTATCCATTTGTATTCTTAAAACACTAAAGTATTCAAAAGTTATCTCAAGACACTTTTACAAAAAAGCAAATCTGGACTGTTTTCCTCTTTTTCTGTTTTGACAAAGACCCAACAGGAATCCACAGGGAGCAAAATAAAGTGTCAAATCTTTCAATACTTTTTGATAACACGTCTTATTTTGATGATCGTTTGTATTCGATCGTTAAAAAAAACTTTTTAAAAAAACAATTTTTGTTTAAAAGCTGCCAGAAGGGAGAGAGGGAATAAATAAGTTGGCATTTCTTTGGCACTGAAACATTGCCAATGTATTTATGCATTTAAAGGTTTATGTCTGGGTGGAAAAAGTGTGATAGAGAGAGAGAACAAACCAAGAGACGGACAGACAGCAGGACGTAAACAACATAAATACTAACAGATGATACCGATGTCTTTGTGTCTTTGTATCTTTGATCCTGTCTCTCTCTCTTCCAGGCCCGTATCCGAGGCGTTGGACCCAGCAGACCAGAGGGTGAGGCCGGTCGAGGTGGAGCTTAGCAGGAACCTGCAGATGTACCTCCAACATCTCGGCCTCATTCCCAAGACGTCGTCTGCCTCCAGCCAGAGCGCTCCGGGCAAGGTGAGAGAATCCAGGACTCCTCTTCTGGATCTCTGTGAGATCAACTTTGTCTCTAGTCGAGGAAGTTGATGACTTGCTGTACCGACATGTTTTTTTACTTTTTTCAAATATGTGACAAAACTGATAGCTACTATTTTACATATTTAAATACATAACTGGACATTATCGTGGAGGTTGAACTTACAAAGAACCTGCAGACATACCGGCCATAAGTTGATTCTTGGGGCGTGTGTACGGAGGCTGTAGTCCTCGCAGCGGGCGGTCCGGGCTCGGGTCCGACCAGTGGCTCCTCCCCTGCATGTCCCTGGTTTCTGACTCTATCCACTGTCCTATCGCTACAATAAAGGCAATAAAAATCTCCAAAATAAAATAAATCCATAAGTTGCTTCTTAATTCAAAGGTTTGACTTTTCAATTAAAAAAAAAAAAAAACACCAATATTTGACTTGATAACTCCAACAGTGAACAACTTCTAAGTGATCTTGTGTTGCAAAATCTCAGACAGTCTTTAAAGTAAACGACACGAGAAGAATGAAATATGACTAAACTTTGGCTTCACTTTTCAAAAGAGGAAAGAAAGCAGGTGGGATGTTCCTTTTTAAACTGATATTTGCATAATGCCCCTCCCTCCCCTCCCCTCCCCTCACTCACAGCCACCTGCCTCTGTGCGCGCGCACACAAACACACACACACACACACACACACACACACCTTGACTACAGGGAGTCGGGTGTCATCCTTTGCGTTGTCACCCGGCTCTGGCTTCTCCGTCCTAACTGATGTCTTCTCCCAGCATGACCGTTGGGAGCTGAATTAAACCAGTAGAGGGTTCAGGAGTTCACTGGTTTTAATTAATGACCCTCCATGTGACGCGCTCCTCCACCATGTCGATGAGCCCGGCTGAATGGCGGGGGGGGGGGGGGGAACCAAGAGACCAGAGGAGCAGGATGGCGTTGAGCCTGCAGGCGACGCTCGGGGCTTGTGGCTTTTTTCTCTCTCCTGAAAAGTGAAAGGTGTCGGGGTGGGGGTGAGGGGGGGTACAAACATCACCAACACTGTGACCCCAGAGGAATATAAAGATGCCGTCAGTGACAAATACGAGGCCTCCTCGCACGTACACAGCATAAAGAAGTATGACAGCTGCGAGGGAACGTCGGCGTTTATGTCGGGTTTTGTTATGCTAATTCAGGTTTGTTCTGTTCCTGTGCTCCGAGGTGGGCGTTAATGGATCCGCCGGTGACTCTTTGCTTTTGTTGCAGCTGATGGATCTGTTAATATGATTGCATAAATGGATTAATAAGTTGTTTTTTTTAAAAGTGGGCTCCATTTTCATGCCGGTTACAGTTTATCTTTCTCCTCAGATGAGAAATCAAACATGTTCTCTCTGAAGACGTTTTATTTGATTTATCTTTTTATTTTAAATTGTATCTGTACTCCACATGTACTCAGGTATTGTTTCCTGCAATGGATACTTTGGATGGATTCCTTCTGACATTTTATTTGATAAGAATGATTTTAGCGTTATGTCTCACAGTCTCAACAATCTCCGTCATGAAAATATGTTTTTTTTAACCACAACTTCATACCTGAAACTCAAGCCAGACGGACTCTAGAAGTCATGGTGGAAGGTCGTCTCACACTGAACGACAAACGACCACGTGCTCACACTGTACACCCTGATTGTCGGGCACATCCTGTACGAGTGAAATCGGGGGCAGAGCGTTCACAATTGTCAATAAAGTTTTCAAAAAACTCAGACAGACGGAGGATGAGTGAGGTGAACGTGTATTTCATTTCATTTTTTTTATTTGTTCCGTACATGTCAAAACACACACAACAGAAAAAATAAAATAAAAACGATTCACACTTCATCCCATGTACGGAAAGGAGCAGGGAGAAGAATAAATCTTGTTTTGCCTGCCCCCCTTACTCAAAAAGCAAACTATAAATACCTGGATGGTCTGTCCAGTCACTGAATGAATACCAACATAAAACAAATCTGACAATTCAGTCTTCACTTCCTCAGAAATAAGAAGGAAATCCCACAAAACACACTAAAACTGCCAATTTCATACAGTCTGATAACTTTGTTCTTTTACATTTTCTTAAAACTGAAATATCTGTATTTTTAAATTTGATTTTATATATTGTAATATCTTCTTATACTAAGTTGTTGCTAGTTCTGCTTTATTTCCTTGTTAATTGTTTAGCACCAATACACCAAGTCAAATTCCTTGTGTGTGTAAATGTACTTGACAATAAACCCAGATTCTGATTCTGATTTGCTCTGAGCAGAACTACAAGTATCTGTAGCTCAACTAAATCTTTCAGTTTTAATAAACTCCAGTCCAGCAAATTTTTCCAAAAATGTCAGTCTCATAAACAAATATCAAGGAAAATGTTCCCACTCTCTCTCACACACACACACACACACACACACACGCACACACTCACTCTGCATCCCCAATAATAGGTTAATTAGCCGCTAAATCATAATAAATAGGAAGACTCATTACACAGGCACACTCGCTGTTGCCATGGAGACCTTGGACGCTGTTGCCCTAGCCGTCGCTGTTGTTGCTACCTCGGATGCTAATCGGGCTACGATTGGGCATTGTGCCTCGTGTCACAGAGGGAGCCAGAAGAAAATTCACTCGGAGCTTCATTTCTCTGCAAGACTCCTAAACGTCTGAAAACCACGACTCATCATCACAATCATTTTTCATTTTTGAGGCACTTTAGGTGAATGTTCTTTGGGATTTAAATGAAGTGTTTCTACTCTTCCTCCTTAGATTCTTTACATCTCACTCTTTGAAGTCAGTCATTTTTCCTCTTCATTTTTCTTTTCATTCCTTGTTTTTGATTTGTCTAAATGACATCCTGGTTTTTACCTACATGTGCTTTCTTTGATTCTTTCAGAGTGACCGTTTCCAGTCGGGCATCCCTGCAGACTTCTTTCGCCCCATGGCCCCGCCTTCCCCTCAGAGGTCGTCTCTTTCATCCCTCCTCCCTCTGCAGAAACAGAGACCCTCACCCGGCCAGCTCCTCGCCACGCAGGCCGACGGCGATCTTCTCCTGGGCACCCTGAGGCAGTATCTCTCAGGGCATCTGTCCCTGCACAGCGGGGGGGCGAGTCCTGACGAGCAGGGGGCCCCCTCGCCCCGCCTGCGGCCTTTTTACAGCAACGGAATAGAAGAGTCTGGGCTCAAAACGGAGACCTTGCAACCCGGGCCCCTGAAGGCGGGAAGAACCCAAGAGGCGCCGGTCAAAGGCCCCCTGACTTCTGTGGACGGTACGTGATTTAAAGACGCATCTCGATGAATTTTAACATCAAGACGTCAAGAGCACATTCACTGACTGTCAACCATCACATACACACACATCATTCAGATTTTACTTTTCAAATCAATCGATCTTTATTTTTACTGCAGAATTCATAACAAGTGTTATCTCGAGACACTTTACAAAAAACACGATAAGACCTTACTCTTTGAAGACCCAACGTTAAAGTCTTTATATGTGATTTTTCACACTTAAATATAATAGAAATCAAGTATATCCTCTGAAAATAACTCTGTGAGTCATCACTGTCTACAATGGGTGTAACACCCGAGTCCCACTGTCTGTGATGCTTTCAGAGTTTTCAGAGTCCTATCTTCACTTTGTTTACATCGCCTGGACGGCTGTCTGACTCCTCCCCTCGTGTATAAAAGTTGTTTAATTGAGGGACTAGAGAAAAGAAGAATAACATACTGTACTCACTGCTTAACTGTGTTTCTAGATCACGCTCATTTCAGGTAAATTTACATGCAGTGTGAAGATACCAGCATAATAAAGATCGCTAGCATTAGCATGCTAACACAACAATGCACGCGAGTTGTTTTGGTTTCATGCTGGTGCTCAAGGGCGACATCTGCTGGATCAAAAATCACATATAAAGCCTTTAATCCATCTTTAGCACTTAACAGCATTAGCAAAGTTACAGTGAAGAGGAAAAAACTTCCTTTCAGAGGCAGAAACCTCGAGCAGATCCAGACTCATGATGAACTGCCGTCTGATGAAACTGTGTCCGGGTTGGAAAGTGGGATAGAGGGAGATGCAGGAAGAAGGATAGGGACAAAATGGGGGGTTTGGGGGGGGACCTACAAGACATGAGAGCTCAGGAGCTCCCAGGAAAAGATGTGGTTAGTGTTGGAGCTAGTGCGTCATTTTTGACATTTTAAGATTGAATTGAACATTTTAATTTAATTCAGGAAAATAAAAACAATCACCACGAGACAACAACAAAATCTGTTTTATTCTGCGTCTTCTATTCTAAGTTAAATAACACTGGAACAAGCTGTGAGTAAATCAAAACACATTGATGGGAAAAATAGAGAAATAAAAAAGATGAACTTCCAAAACAAAAACAACAACCCAGATGACTCTCCTGAACATAGCGAGTGTGTTTTTTCCAAATAGATGTTTTTGTTCAAGGTTTTGTTAAGTCGTTTAGGTTTCTCATGATTTGTCCTTCAGTGTGATTCTGCCAGTGTCAAAGCACTTGGCACTTGTTGTTTCTAAAACTGCTGTACAAATAATGACATTATTGTTATTTAATGTAAAGGGTCAAATATATGATGCAAAAAACGCAGATCTTAGCAAGCGTGTTTGTCTGATTTTGTCAAAAAACAATCTAATTACATTTGTTACTACACACACACACACATGCACAAACTGGATCCTGTGGACATGCACTAATGCAGTGCTCAGGAAGTGAACTGGCATCTCTCCAGCAACCAGACCCATTTCCAGGTTTGGTCAGCACTGGGACTTGAACAGGCCACCCTCCGATTCCCAACCCAAGTCCCTACATTCATTATAATCCACATTCAGCTGACGAGTCCACAAAAACATATTTTTTTCAAGATATCAAAGGCAACAAAGAAGGCCTTAACTAAAAAGAAAATTTCATACGATACATTACGATATGCGTTGCCAGACAAGACGAGGCGATACAATATTATATGCTTTAAAATAAGACGAGACAGTATGAGAAAGATGAATAAGAAAATAATCATTCTGTTTATGTTGCCGTGTTGGAGAGTTTCCTTAGCAACGGGATGTCAGGGGTGATACGGTGATCTCTATATTCAGTTCAAATTCAAATCTGAGTTTGCTCGTCCGGTGGAGACCGCCATGGAGGGGATAGGGAGGACGGGAATCCTCTCCCTACAGCCAGTATATAATCCTCTCTGACCCTCTCTCCTCTGATTTCTCTCAGAGCGCTTCATCAAGAAGGTCCTGAAGAACGTCGGCAGGCAGCACCTGGACGTGGAGGAGCTGACGCAGCAGGACGTGGACCAGCTGTCCAGCCTGATAGCCGACGCTCTGCAAGTAGTCGACAAGGAGCGAGGACGAAACGGGGGACAGGTCAGACCTGCACCGAGAGACCTGGAGGAGGAACAGAGGAGTCTGGAGGACGATGAAGAGGAGGAGGAGGCGGCGGTGGCGGCTGAGGATGAGGATGAGGAGGAGGAGAAGTTGCTTGAAAATGCTGCGACAGTGAAGCCACAGGAGAGCACTTCAACATCGCCTTCAGCCCTTCAAGGTAATTATACAAAATTCATTTTGTGCTTTTTACACAATTACAGTATCGAGTAAAGAGCCGTTACACACATAACTGTGTAGGTAGACTAAAGAAGGAGCTCTGTAACATGAAAATCAATGTGAAAATAAATAGTCTGGCTGTTGAGTTCAGTGGAAACATAGCCCCTTATAATGCTCCAGAGTCCTCTGAGACCACTAAACATATTTACACTACGAGTAAAAGAAATGCTCAGTCAGCAGTTTAAAGAAAACCACCTGCTCTCGGCCTTCTGTGACGCATTTTTGCAATGAAGCGGAGAGAAGCTCTGCATCTTAGACCGAGCACAACATTCACCTCTCTCCCTCTGTGACGAGTTCATGATGGGAACTTGCAGACATCATAAAGAACTTGCTGACGGTTTTGATATTATTCGATACAATACAATAGAGGATGGGACTAGGCAACAGGAGAAGAGCCTAAAAAATATGTGAAACAAGACGACTGGAGGAGATACAACATGATCAAGATGAGACAAAATGATACAATACAAAACAAGATGAGATATGATGTGAAACGATACCATACCATATGATGCAGCATGATATGATACAATACGATAAACGTAAGAAGTGATAAGATAGGATACAATGGGTTACAATACTATAAACTTAATTAACATAAGATCATATTCTCCAATTCTAAAATTCACTTAGCAGACGCTTTTATCCAAACCCAAGCGAGGATCTAGAAAAGAGTAAACAATGTCAGGAAGTGCAGACGATCAGCTTTAAGTGTGATTGGACACACATCGTCTGACAGGAAGTGACCAGAGGCAGAGCTCAACATGGACGGTAAAGTTCTAACCAGCATCAAACATTGGTCATCATCATCATCATGAAGGTGGTAGGTGTTCATAAAGAGCTGGGTCTTTAGCTTTTTCTTAAAGGTGCAGAGGGACTCTTCAGATTAAAGGAGTTTGGTGGTTCGTTCTATGAGTGACATTCTTTAAGAACCTGCAGAGATTTTTTATCTGGTTTTAGTAGAAAAGAACGACTGTCTCAGCACCGGCTTTAAGAATGTATTCAAGGACGTTTCTAAATGTTTCCTCTCTGATTCTTCTTTTCATTCCCTCTCTCTCTCTCCAAACAGAGCGCCACACGGGCGCAGAGGAGCAGAGTGCGAAGGACAAGGTAAGAAATTAATTTTGTGTTTTAAAAAAAGAAAAGGCCTTAAAATGTCAGCGAGATGGCTGACATTATTCAGAGTTATGTAAGACTCTGAATGAAGAGGGAAATGAACCCCACAGCCTTGAGGCTCTCTGAAGAACTTCAGGTTGTGTTTGACATCTGCTGCTGTACAAAAGACTGAGCCGGGATTTAACTCAGGTTTCTAATGAGAGACGCATTTTTACATTTCTGTTGTGCAGAAAGTTTTTTGGTTTTTGTACACAATGAGACTTTAAAAAAATACTTTCTTATCTTCTCAAGAGACTTAGTGCTGTTTAAGGATGATTGTTTTTGTATTTTCTGCTGCAAATACAAATCATAGGGCGTTCACACATGCAGAAATCTCCTGAAAATCTCCTGATATTTCCAAGAGAAGCTGCATGTGTGAACGTAAACAGCTGAATGTTTCGCTCAGACTTCACCCGGAGTTTCTCCTGACGGACCCCCTAGTATTTTTTCTGCAGCAAGTCTGAGTGAGCTGCAGGATATTCACTGGAGAATTCACCTCGAGCCAATAGGAGGGGGAGAGACGTTTATATACTGCGACTGCTGCACAGTGCATTTGGACTGCAGTGCCCATTTTAAACACTAGGTGTCAGAGTTACATACTGCTCCTTTAATGTTGATGTCGAGTCAAAGCAACAATTAATCAAAAGCATTTTAAGATTCTTACGTTTGCAAAATCATACTGTACTTGCTACTATTTTCAAAAATGTTCTCTTGGGAACAAAAGACCCTCCCCCTCTATCAGCATCGTTAAATGAAAGGTTGTCTTCACCAGCAACAAACAAACTGTAGCATCGTTTATGTAACGCTTCCTCTTTCTCTACGCTGTTTGTATCTGCACGGGTCATTTAGGAAGGATTTTCAAACTTTGAAGAGATGTTTGAAGTGTGTGCTCTCTCCATGTTCTTCTCCTTGTATTTATCATCCTGCTTCCTGTTGGCTGGTTAGAGCAGGTTCATTGAAGTATCTGGCTCGGGCAGCTAGCTACAAAGGAATAATAGCACGTTATGAAACCTTTCAGTATGAACTCTGACAGTTTGGCTGTTCTTTGATTTAAGGTAATTATTTCCTCACGCTGGATCGCCAGCAACAGGAAAACTCCCACCAGTTCACTTTGAGCGGTAAGACAAAAGATCCTGATTGAACAAAGCGTCATTACTCCGCTCCAAAACGTCTGAATCTGTAATTTATGGAAGTTTAACACAAACTCATTAGTCCCACAGGCTGGTCCAAAGGTCTTATAATTTAAATCATTTATTATCACATCAAGTTATTCTGATCTCTTTTATAACTTTATCTACCGTCTGCAGAGCTTTAACCCCTTTTTAATTTAAAAAACACACATTAAGTAGTTTGTTAAAGGTATATGTGTGTCAGTGTGTCTCCTGGGTTTATCTGTTAGGGGTGGTGGTCTGTGTCTGTAATTTTTTCTTTTTTTTTTAAATGTGTTTGATTTTAAAGGTCCAATCAGCAAGATATCTACTGAATGAAATGATAAAGTGACCTTACTGTATGATCAGACATTAAGGAAACATAATGACAACAATGCAGCAGCCAGTATGTCCTCCTTCTAACTTTAGATTCTGCTCCTGAATTCTCTGGATTTGTTTGGACCAGAGAAGGTAGGCGCTTTTAAGGCGACCCCCCACACGGCCGTTTTCGACACCCCTCGGTTTGTCAGATATGAGAGCAGTTATCAGGTCAACAGGTGTTGCAGCGATGGAAGCGGGCAAGAGAAGTGGTTCAGATAGAAGTGATTGTACCCGACCTAAAAAGCCTCTGCATGTTTCTAATAAGCTCCACGAGCAGAAACGTGCTCAAACTAGGATCAATATTGGAGATGCTTTTGAAAAATGGAGAGAGGTTAGAACACAGAAAGGTTTACAGACCCATGCAGAGCTGGATAAACACTGAAGCTTCAGAGTCCACCACATGGTGACCTGAGTGAGCATCCACTCTAGAGAGGAGGGGGGGGGGAGACTCTGATCCTGTATCTCATCATGCCTATAAACCCCTCTATTCTAACGGTAGACTTTAAGAATTAATTGATGGTTAGAAAATGTGTTTTTTAAATTTAATTAGTAACAGAGAGTATCAATGGCTCTTTTTCTCCAGCCTGAGAGCGGGAACCTCTTCACCAAACTTCTCGCCTACCTGGACAAAACTTCCTCGCTCGACTCTCCGTCAGCAAGAGCTCGTAGCGACACCTCCATGGAGACGCCCAGAGGCCTCCAGGTGGGGTTGGAAAACGTCCAGAGTCGGACCAGCGAGGCCGGGGTGACAGTGCAGAAGAAGGACGCCACCCAGTCAGTGGAGGAGGTGTCGGAGGTGCGGGGCTGGATCAAGGAGGTGGCGCCCCCTCCTGCTTCGTTAGTGTACGAGGAGCCGCACAAGAAGACGATTCACGCTCCTGAACTCCAGCTGGACGTCAAAGCTGGCAGGAAGAAGGTTCACGCTCCTGAACTCCAGCTGGACGTCAAAGCCGGCAGGAAGAAGGTTGACGATGACGTCTTCGGCTACGTCATCACCGACACAGAGTGAGTAAAAAGCAGCTGACTCAAAGGTGATGATCATGGTCACTAAAACCAGACTGATACTGGATCTATGAGTCTGACATTGATGTTGGTATTTTCAAAATAAAAGCTCAGTTACAGTGGCCATCTGATATTGATGATTGTGAAGGGAAACTTGTTCCACCTGATCATGACCCAATATATACAAGTTATTACAAGTTTATAGCTAAAGTTAATAATCAGATATAATTTAGGTAAACTCTAATAATCCAATGTATGAATCAGTATCAAGGACAGCTGTTAAAATGTTATTGATCTGCAAAAAGTAAAGAATGAAATCAAAGCAGTTCAAGAAGCCTCGTGCGTTTCATGACTTTTTAATCAACAACAACAAAAAAACCTTCATATGTTCACTCGGCCAGCTCATTTATTTATTTTAAAAGTTTGTATCATGAAGCAGACACAAATTTTAGTCCACACCCCCTCCTTTGTTCTCCTATGTATTCAACAAATCAGATGCATTCTGTATTTTTTGGAAGTTCATCAAAGCAATCAACAAAATAAAAGCTCAAATTCAAAATAAAACACATCAAACATGTTCAGACTCCTGATCTAAACCATCACTGTATCACCATTACGTCAAACCAGCACCAAAACAAAGCATCCAATCTCGTTGGCATGTTGCTCTCTTAATTCCCGTGTGATCTTGTAGTTCCCCTGTGATCTGGCGGCTTGTGGCTCAGTGGTAGAGTTGGTAATCTCACAATAAAGAAAGTCAGGGGTTCGATTCCCAGCTCCAGCAGCCACATGTCCGATGCGTCCTTGGGCAAGAGTATGAATATTTATGAATGGGATTAGTTAACTTTTTGCTCCCCTAATTCAATCGGTTCCACATCTTGGTTTATCTCCATGGTTATAACATCCCAGCAACTTAATTTAGACAGTCAACCAACTCATCTTGAAGCCAGGCTGAATTTAAGACCGATATCGCCTCATTAGTCGGGCACAATGCCCAATCGTAGCCCGATTAGCATCCGAGATAGCAATAACTGCATCGGCCATGGCAACAGAGTCCGAGGTCTCCATGGCAACAGCGAGTGTGCCTGTGTAATGAGTCTTCTGCAGTGTATGAATGGATTAGTTACTTCTGATGGACTTTTTACATAACAAGTAGTCAGAATACTAGAAAAGAAATATACAAGCTTGAATCCATTTACCATTTATTCTTGTGTCCGGTTGCCTTCCTCCCATATGCCACAGTCCCTCCAAACATGTGCTAAAGGTCCTGATTGGTCCACAGCGGCTCATGATTACAGAGGATATACATGAATGACTCAACTGTTGTGAGAAACAGAAACTAAATAAGGGAATCTATATGTAATGTTTTCCCCTTTGCACTCTGCATGGAGCCTGTTCAATTACTATTTTTTTTGTCCCTTGACATTTTACAGCGAGATCAGAGCCGGTGTGGATATAATGGATGGATGCTGACTTCCTATATGAATTCAGGCTGAAGGACAAACTTTTCATTTAAATGCCAGAGAGTCTACATTTTTTCTTCCCAGCAAGCGTCAATCTCCGGAAAAATAAAAACTTTAAAGTTAACAAAAAAAGTTCTTCAAACTGCTCCTGTTGTTCTGTCCGTCCAAAGCATTTTATAAAATGAAATGTGTTTTTCTTTTAGTCTTAATAAGTACCAGTCCAAGAAAACGTAATTTTTCTGTCAACATGTTTTCTGTAACTGAAAGCGCAGGAATTACAAAATCCTCTAGTCGTCTTGTGAATGTGAACCTGCTTTTATATTGAACAGTCTGATGTAACCGAGAGGGCACTGCAGGCTGTATTTTTCCTTCATTCTCAGTCACACCGGGGGCAGAGTGATTTTTTAAAATTGATTTCTCTGCTCCAGTGTGAGATCGAAGACCTTTAGAAAACGAGAGCTGTGCTGTTTGGGTTTTCAAACTTTATCTGCAGCAGCTGTACTTCAGGCTGAAGGCCTTTATGCCGCCCCCCCCCCATCCTGTCACTTGCCTTCAATACAACAGAAAAGCTGTGATTGATTGCTATCCAGGAAGAGAGCATAACCATTTAGTGCCTGTGTCCACCGGAGCGGATGCACTGGCACATCCCGTTCTCGGGACAAGACCCAAAGTAGTTAAACTTTTTTGAAAATATCCTCAGCGTCAGTTCTTTGTCATTGCGCTCACAGCCCTCTAAGTTGGAAACAGTTCAACTTTTGCAACAACGCCCTGCTCACCAATGTAACCGTCTCCTTCACCGGCCAATCAAAATTAAAGAGGGGCGGGACTTCTGATATCAGTCTGTGGCAGCAGTCTGTAGGGACTTGGGTTACCGATTCAAGTCCTGGTTCACACCAAAGTATGGAAGTTGGTCTGGTGGCTGGAGAGGTGCCAAGTCACTTCCAGAGTACTGCCGAGGTCCCGTTGAGCAAGGCTGGAACCCCCCACAGCTCTGTGTAGCAGCCCCACTCTGACATCTCTCCATTAATGCACGCCCACAGGTCCTGTTTGTGCATGTGTGTGATTCCTATGTGTGTGAGAAGTCTCTAAATAACAGAGTGTAAACCAGAATTTCTCTCAGGGATAATAAAGTATATTTATATATATATATAAATTACTAATGGCGGTGGAGAAACCAATTTTGACTCGTCTTCTGAGGCGACAATTTCCAGGTGTTGCGCTGAAGCTGATGCCAGGACATGATTCATGTACATTATTTTCATGTTCTCTTAGTGATATTTCCCTGAATAAAGGAACATGTGAAGCAGAACTTTTAAAATGGGCCAGTCACTGCTGAGGGGAGCGGACGTTAACTCTTTTAGTAGCTGAGAAGAGCTTTGAACGACATCTTTTTTTTAATGTAAGTAACACTGACAACACCTTACATGAAGCTAAATTAAGGTCTCAGTATTCACCATTAACTAGCTCACCTTTATGATCTTAACATGCTAATGAGCAACTAGTATGCTACTAGTTAGCTAGTATGATTTTCAGTGTTGATTTCGACGATGAATGTCGACCTTTTTTCCGCACGTTGAAGACGAACGAATGACGAGCTAAAAATAGATCTTTGAGAAGAAAAACTGTGAATACGTGAAAGTTTAGTTTTCATTGATGAGACTAGCTTAAAATGTTGGTGCCGTATTTCACTTCAAAGTGATTGAGCTGGTGTTGTTCTCTGAAACATGTCGGCAGCAGGACAGGATGTGTCGCAGCGAGGAGGACAACGATTCTTTAACTTTATGAAACAGAGTTTTTCGAGGCTGAATTTCTCTCCCCAAAAAACAGGTGAAGAGCAGCAAAAGTTCAAGTTGTCCTCAGTCGTCAGTGTCCTCAGCACATTCCTCTCTTACCCTTTACAGTCACTCTTTAAAGTGTCTCTTGACATTTTCTGTGAGATCACTGAACTTCAAGAGAACACCACAGTTGTCCTTGACGGTTTGCAAATGTCTCCAGATGCAAAATGCAGCATCCACCAAAACGCAGAAAAAAACCCCCTGACACTTCAAGACTCTTAAATTGATCAGAGGGCAAGAAGCTCCTCAAAGAACGACCTCCTGCTGTACCAGAAGGGTCTTTACATCCACCAGTTTTTACTGTTGTTTTAGAAAGTAATCTAGACCGCTGGTATCACTACAGTAGTGTTGAAGTACTCGAGGTCTCAAGACCGGTCTCGAGACACCACTCTGTGAAGGTCTCGACTCTTGAATAAAAAGCACTTAACCTCGGTCTTGTCTCGGTTTCAGACTTGGCGTACTCCAGATTTTTAATCAAGACCTGTCAGTACCACCACTGATAAAGCCTTTCTAAAACTCCAAATAACAATTCAGCCTCTACGTAAGCTGTTTAAACCTCTTTCATTGGCTCTCTTCTCCCAGTACTGGAGAGCAGCCCTTCCCCTGGCAGTCCTGCAGCGTTCTGCCCCCCAGAAAGGCTTCCAGAGACCTGGCCAATCAGAAGACAGTTGGCACGTGGGGAGGCGGGTCTTAAAGAGACAGCAGCTGAAATGAACTGTTGCAGGCTGATGCTGAAATGAGGGATTTTATAGACGCCAGTCTCAAATAAATAAAGGTTTTTTTTTTGCTTCAAATCATGCAAAGCTTCTCTGTAAGTTTCACAGACTGACAACATGACTGACACAAGAAAGTGGTTAATTCAACATTTAAATATGAAACATTGTCCACTTTCTTTCATGTGAAAGAAGGAGAAGGAGGAAGAGGTGGAGGGGGAGGAGGAATAGTAGGAAAAGGAGGAGGAAGAGGATGAGGGGGAGGAAGAGGAGGAGGAGGAGGGAGACAGGGTGATTCATCACAGCTGGAGGAAAACACCTGCTCCACATCACACACACACACACACACACACACACACACACACACACACACACACACACGTGTGGATATTTTAACCCCTCAACCTTTAAATGCTTTCCCTTTTTTTTCCTCGCATCCCACACACCTCATATGAATCATGATGCACAAGTACAGTTCTGATTTGCATCTTAAAAACACATTTTATTTCCTTTAAGCTTCTGAAAAGTTTTAAAATGCTCCTTTAGATTCTTTAAAAAAATGTGTTTATTATACATTATATTAAAACAAAGGCTTGGAGTTCAGGCCTCAAGCGAGTGAACCTGGTGCCGCTTTTATGTCGAGACCTAAAAGTCAGAAACATCTTCTACCAAACAGCAGAAAAGCCAGCGCTCTGTAGAGCTGCTGTTAAAGCTGCTTTAAGGTCCGTAGTGCGGCCCACAGCTCTGAGGATCAGGTGGCAGGTGGCGTGATCACCTGTGTGAGATGTGAAGCATGCTGACTCACACTGTGGAGCTGCTGGGCTGATGATGTCTGCTCTCCAGCCTGAGGAGGCACAGAAAGAGTCACCAGCTGGCTGTGACTTCTCATACAATAAAATAAAAATCTTAGATTCCTGAAAAGTGATTCACCCATCAGTCAGACACATTATGTCATAAAATACAACAAAAAGCCGAACCTGATTTGAGATTTTCACTTTCAAACTTATTTCAATGGCGGTATTCTTCAGATATAAGAGTGATTGGATCGTGCTGTGGCGTGCCCTCTTTGTTCATAACAACATGAGGATTGTAGTGTTTCATCCTCCACATCATTTGCAGTGAAGTACAGTTCAACCCTTTCAATATATGACTCCTGGTCTTTCATTGGTGCTGTCAAACTCCTCTATTTGTCCACCAAAGGACAAAACGTTCGCATTGCTTTCACTTTACCATTAGCCGTTAGCCGTTAGCAGCTTAGCGTATCACTCACTGGTCTCCATTCTCTCGTGTGTCTCTCTTCACCCAGCTCCGCCGTCTCCTTCAACTGTCAGTACAGACGGTTTCCTCTCGAGTGTTGAAGCACGACCACGACTTTATGCTTAACTTTTGCCACACATAACTTTTGACTAGGCCTGGTTAAAACAAATCGATTCATCAAAGCATTGCAATTATTATTTTCCCAATTCAATATCGATTCAGGGAAATCCAGAGACCGATTTTTGTTTCCATTGTAATGACACCCCTCTCCACTAGGGGGCACTGTGGGTGCTGTGAATTCAGTTCAGGCACAATTTTGCACTTTAGATCATACTGTACTTTCATGGGTGCAACGATAAAATACATTTCTGAGACAGTTTGTTTTAAACAAATACAAACAAATAATTATTTAACAAATCTAAGAAGGTACTGTGAGTAGTTATCTGGGTTTTTCTCTCATCTATGTGTAATATCGAATCGAACTGTTGAGGTTGTGGTCAATACCCAGCTCTATGATTGACACAATAAATCACCAACTGAAGGCTCTATCCTGGATAGCAAACCACTAATTCTCAAAAAGACTCCATTCAAAATACAACAGAGGAGTTTGTTAGCGTTAATGTTTTTGTTAGCATGATAAACGAGACGTACTCAAGTACCCAGGATGTTGGTCATTTAATACTTCATCATTATTGACTGTGGTGACTTTAATTTTCTTCCTGGAATGATTCTTCTTCTCACTACTTTTCCTTCTGTCCTCACATCTCCTCTTCTTCTTCCTCAGTGGGCTCCAGACAGACGAAGGCCTCCACCTGATGGAGATCCTGGCTCGCAGGGCTAAGATCCAGATGACCGACTTCTCCGAGCTCTC